AAGAATGGAGTGTGGGTGCTCAAAGAAATGAGGCACCAGCCATTAAAACACACACACACACACACACACACATGTATATATTTTGAGATAGTGTCTCCCTGAGTTACTAAGTTCCCCAAGCTAGATATGAACTTCCAGTCCTCCTGCCTAGGCCTCCCAGAGTGCTGGGATCATGGGCAGCTCCCCTCCTGCTTTCTCTATGCTTCTTCGGGGGCTATGTTGATGGGCTCTAGCAGGTGGAGGTTGGAATTAATTCTGTTGTCAGGGTCCATGTCTGCTGTCCCAACAGCTAGACTCCGCCTGCCACTCAGGGAGAGTTTGGTTAAAGCACAGGCCTAGGATAAAAATTGTGCATGGTAAGGAGACATGAGAAAAATTATTTTACTCTTAATTATCTGTTAAAATGTCATGTGACTGGGATTTATTTGTACCTTTAGTTTTAAGAAACAGTAACATATGAAGACAAATGTACAGCTGTGCTCATGCTGTGTCAGAACTGCTAGTATGTGGGTGATGGGGTTACACAGACCCCCTGAGTGAGTGTGATGCCTGCTTTCCTGAAACTAGAGCTTTGTTTTTTCCTTTCCTCGTAGTTGAATTCCATGGGCTTTGGGAAAGTCTAGTGTATGACGTGGAAGTCAAATCACATGTAAGTTGCTGTGGTTCTCAAAATGTCCTGTTATTTGAAGAGACTCAGTCTTGTGCTCACCAGTGCCTTCGAGCTCTTGACCCAGGAACCTTTGGGACTTGGTCCACCTGGGATACCCATCTTCCCAGGGCTGCCCATTGTGTATCTGGTCTCGGGCAAGAAGGCGAGGGACAGGCTGGAAACCTCCTGGGCTTTTGGCTACACGGGAGCCAGAGGAGAGACAGTGGAAACTGCCCTCCACCTCCTGGCTGCTCCCCAGAATCCTGACAGGCAGGCCTGCTGTATGCCTGCCACTCAGTGTTCTGGAGGAGGAGCTGCTCTGTGCCTGGGACCCCTTCAGGGACTTTGCTTAACGTTGGTATTTTAAGCAATCATTTTGTTTCTCTTACTTTTTAGTAATAAGAGCCAACACTTACCCTCCTGCTTCTCCAAGTTGCCTTCTAAAATGAAAGCCTGGGAGGCAGTTGCTGAGCATCTGTCCCTCAGGAGCAAGCCCTAGCGGCGCAGTCCTGGGAGTGCTGCCTTGGGTGCCTTCATCCGCTTTCTTTTCTCTACCAGCTCCTTGACTACGTGATGACGACCCTGCTGTTCTCAGACAAGAATGTGGACAGCAACCTCATCACCTGGAACCGCGTGGTGCTGCTGCATGGTGAGACCAGACATGTGGCATGAAATTCAGCTTCTGCTGTATCCTTCTGCAAGCAGTTTCAGCACTGTTTTCTACAGGAGCTGGCATTGTCCTGGAATGTCCTTTTCTGCAATGCTGATCCACCTCACAGGCCTTTGTCACTTGTCCTTCCTTTGGCAGCTAGCCGATTTCTGCCGCGTGACTTTTTATATTAAATAAATAACTGCTTTATTTCACTAACTGATGAGAATCCCTTAGGTAGAAACCGCTTTGTGTTTCTGCATGATATTCCTGATCTTCACTTAGTGAGAGTAGACTGCAAAAACCATATTTTAAAATAAATTTAGTCAGGTTCTCTCAGAAGAAAATGCTGTTGGTTTGCCTTTGTTTCCATGTCTCTGGGTGGAGAGGAGACACAGACTGAATGAGATCAGGAGTATGCCCACATTATAGCAAGGCAGAAATTAGCTTCTGTCTATAGATTGAGATTGCATGATTGTCCCTGGCATGGCATCCTAGCAGCAGGGTCAGAGAGGACAGCCATAGGGATTTTCATTAGTGAAAGGAATTGTTTGGAATCAGGTGCAGGTTTCCACTTTAGTTACTGAAAGTGCTTGTGGAACAGCAGAGTCAGGCATGTCTCTGTGTTCTCCCAATGCACTCAGTCTTCCCCCAATGCACTCAGTCTTCCCAGTGGGGCACCTCAGTTTCCGTGAGCCCTCATCTGGGGACTGACAGGGCAGGGCATGTACAGGAAGAGTCCGGTCTTAGCTGCTGTGCTAGTGAGCAGCACCTCCTGAGAAAGCTGGCTTACCAAGAGAAATGGGTCATGTTGGCTCAGTTCCAGAGGTTTCAGTCCATGGTGGGTTGGTCCTGCTGCTTGTGGGTCTGTGACAGCACGGTAGGAGCACATGGTTGACTGTGTCATGGCCAAGAACCGAAAGAGTAACAGAAAGGGTCTGGTCCCACACTTCCCTTCATGAGCCTGCCCTCAAGACCTGAACCTCCCCCTGGGCCACGAGTCAGGAAACAAACCTCACTAGTGTACCTTGGGGACATTGCTGACCTGTGCTATGGCACTGCTTGTCTGATGCAGCACCGGGCACCACCCACTTAGGACCATCCGCAGGTTGCAGCAGCAGCTTTGCTCTGTGGCATCCTCTACTTGGTCCTGTTAAAGGTCTCTGTGGCCTTCGAAAGGTGCCTGAGTAGGTAGGTATCATAGAGGAAGTAGAACAAGGACAGTCACTAAGATGTAGACCAGGTGCTCGCTTCAGCAGTACATGTACCAAAATTGGATGTAGACCAGAAAATTGCTGCCCCTAGAATGCTGAGCTGGGCTGCAGGCCAAGAAGCACTGTGCTCAGATTGCGGGGTGGGATCAGAAATAAGAGTCCGATTAGGAAGAAAGAGGACCTTTTAAAGCATATTGATATTTCATGTCCTTTAAGCTCCTCTCAGATTTCTTTGTAGGTTCACAAGCAGTATCTGCTGTAAGAACAATAGCTTTTAACTCTATCTTATTTTATATTTTGGATAAGCAACTACTACTCTTCCAGCAAACTTACTGCACTGGCTTAGAGACACCTTTGCCTGGTTCTTGTTACAGGTCCACCAGGAACTGGGAAGACATCCCTGTGTAAGGCCTTAGCCCAGAAACTGACCATCAGACTGTCCAGCAGGTAACTGGTGACAGGACAGTCTGGGAATGGGACTTGGCAATGTGGTGCTTTTGCTTTTGATTGCTTTACGTGAGTAGTGGGTTCTTTTCTACCTACTATGGTCCTGAGTTTGATCTCAGAACTTACGGAGCCTTGATTTATGGCAGCCTTCGTCCTCATAGTGATGTCCAGGTGCACTGACAAGAGGGTGGCGTGTGGTACAGGTGCATGTGGCAGGTCCTGTGCATGATGGCCTTGCTGGTTTCTGTCCACTGTGCTTTTACTGGGTGAGGAGCTCCGGCCTCTCTTTGGACTGTCAATCCTTCCTTGAGTTCTTTCTGCATCTTCAGGTACTGGTTCTCACCATTTTGAAAAGTCGTTGGTTGTTATTCTTCACCTGATTCCCATACTCTCCCTGTTTCCTGGAACCTATTTATTGGCATGTGAGGCTGCTTTGTCTTGTCCCACAATTCACTGATGTACTTTTCCGTAAAATATCTGTGTTTCACTCTGAACAGTGTCTGTTGCTTCATTTCAAGTTGTTCATTTTTCAGTAGGGTATAATCTTTTTTTCTTGAGACAGGGTCTTGCTATATAGTTCAGGCTGGCTTCAAACTCACAATTATCCACTTGCCTGAGCCTCCCGAGTGCTAGGATCACAAGCATGTGCCACCACACCTGGTTTAATCTAATTTTAATTCCATTCAGTGAAATTTTTATTTCTGATAGGATGTTTCTTGCTTTATTTGGTTCTTATTGTAGTTTTCCTTTCTTCCTTCTTTTTATTGTTAAAATGTGTGATGTGTTGATAAGAGCTCTTTAATGTTCTGTCCTGCTGCCTGTGTCATGTCATTATATCTCTCTGTTTCCACTGACCGGCTTATCTCTGGTTTAGAATCACATTTTTGTACTTTTTGGCATTCAGAGAATTTTTCTTGAATGCTAAAGGTGATGATTTGAAGTATCTGTCATGTCTTCCACAGTTCTTGGGTCTTGTTTCTGTGCTGTTAGCCAGGGTTATAGGGCTAGTCTTGTCTTCTTGTGAAGGGTGCTTTGCCTGGGGTCTGTGGAGTATCTGGAATGACGAATCCATATTCTTTGTGGTGGCCAGGAGACTCAAAACTCACAGATGTACAGATGCCTTTTCCAGCACCAGATTCTCCCTGTTCACCTCCCTTAGAACTCAGCAGACACAGGAAGGTTTCTCCTGTCTCCTTCTCTGGCATGCTGCCCTGCATTGCCCAGCTGCCTCCCTCTCCCTGAGCCTGCCTGTTCCTCAGCTCAGCAGAGTGGGTGCCATTGAGGAAAGGTCCCTGCACATAGCCAGAGCAGTGGCCAGGGTCCCTGCCGCTCTCAGGGCCACGGCCTCCGCTGCCTACTGACTGGTCCTGAGCAGATGTAGTTTTACTTTGTCCAGTTTTCTCATCTGAGGCTAAAGTTAGGCCTAGGGCCTGACACTCTAGCATTAAGAGGACATCCTGAGGTCTACTGTTGTTTCTGGTTTTTTTCCTTTTCAGAAATGTCTTGTATTTTCACATAAGGAGAGTGCTTTATTTTTATCTTTGTGTTTAGTGACTTGGCCTTTCTTTTGACTCACTGAAATGTATCTGTTTTAAAAATCTCTTGGAAGGGCTGGGAATTTAGCTCAGTGGCAGCATGCCTGCCTCGCAAGTGCAAGTTCTTGAGTTTGACCCCTGGTACCCCCACAAAAAAAATCTCTCGGGGAAGTTTCTTAAAACATCAGAGAGGGAAGAAATTACAAGACCCTGGAAATATATATTTAATAGCTTAGAAATGGCAAAAAGAATTTTTGTTTTTCATCCTATCTACATAATGTTTTAGTTAATTTTGTGTAATATTTATCCCAGCCTTTTTTCCACTGCCCCTTGGTCAACAGCAGCTATGGTCTGTGTTTGTCTTGATTTTGAATGGATGCCAGGGACACTTTCGGAAAGTGAGTCTTCTGAGGAACCTGGCTGCTGTCACTTGGTGCTGTTTCCTGTTTGGCTTGGCCTGGAGCTGTGTGTGCAAGCCCCCACTCCCACCTGAGGGACAGAGGTGTCAGTGCTGCACACCTGCAGTCCGCACGTGTCAGGGCAGCTTCTTGTGGTCCGAGTGCCCCAGGGCACCAGTCTGCTGGAAGGCGCTGTTGCACTTGTAGCTTTTCATGGAAGATGGAAGAAGATGCTCAGCTCCTGCCAAAGTCTCCTGATGCTTCAGGGTTTTATTCTTTGTTTGCTATGTTGTTATTAGTGATTCTTTTTAGACATAGAAATACCAATTGCAAGTAGATTAAAGTAAGTCTTTACTCTTTAATTCAAACAGAGCCATGGGAAAACTTTGCTATAATCGAGAACTGTTCATTGCCTCTTGTTAGATTCCTCGGAGTCAGTGAGTCCCAGAGCAGTGTGCCTCTGTCCTTTAGGGAACTGTAATAACTCACCATCCTAGAAGTTCCCAGCAGAGATGTGGCACTGAAGGGACACATGTGGTCACCAGCCTGCCTCTGAGGATGGCCTGGACCTGGCTTTTGAAGCAGCTTTCTTACCTGTTTTTATCATTATAGGTACCGGTATGGCCAGTTAATTGAAATAAACAGCCACAGCCTCTTTTCCAAGTGGTTTTCAGAAGTAAGTATCAAATGTTCTTATGTCTGGATTGTCAGGCAGGAAGCTGGAAAAGCAGTGTCCTGTTTATGAGGTGAATGCTCTGAACGCAAAAGGTCATGGGAGAAATGGGTGAATTGTGAAAGTGTCAGGCCTGACTGCTCAGAGGAGCTGCAGAACTCTGAGGGGCTTGGAGGGATTCTGGACCTGGGAGACCCTATTGGTCACACCGTAGACCTCTGACAGGTGGGAGAGGACATGTAGCTGACAGAGCAGGCAGTGGATCTTTTGTGCTTGCTCATGTGGGCTGGGAAGCAGAGTCCCAGGGGAATGACGTGGGTGCCCCTCACCTCTGGAGGGCGGTGCCCAAGGTCCCTTGCATGGGTTTGTCCCTCATGGTGTCTGGGGACAGAGAGTACCTGAAGAAGTCACATGCCCGGGTCTGATGCCTCTTATCTGCTTACTGGGTTCACACAGTAGGTTGAGCGTCGGCTGACCTTGCAGGCCCGCCTGGCTTCTCTGAGGGGCTTTTCTGAGGAGCTCGTGGGGCTTACTGGGGACTGCGAGTCAGCACTGAGGAGTGTTTTGTTGCAGAGTGGCAAGCTGGTAACTAGGATGTTCCAGAAGATTCAAGACTTCATTGATGACAAAGAAGCACTGGTGTTTGTGTTGATTGACGAGGTGGGCACCCGTCAGTAGTTGGCCTGTGACTGAGATGCTCCGTGCTGTTGCTGCCCCACACTCAGTCCTGCCGACATCTGTCCTCTGTGCTGCAGGACCCCTGCCCCAGTACCTCGGCACTGTGCTCCCACTGGCAGTGCTCACTCAGTCCCTGTAGCTCCCTGTGAGGGTTCAGTCACTGATCCCTTTGACCTGTCACTCTGCCCACAGGTGGAAAGTCTTACAGCTGCTCGCAATGCTTGCCGAACAGGTGCAGAGCCGTCAGATGCCATCCGTGTGGTCAATGCTGTCTTGACCCAAATTGACCAGATAAAAAGGTAAGGGGCAGTGACAAAAAGCACCTGACACTGAGTTTTGACTGTCTTCCTGTATGCTGGGTACAGCATATGTAGTAAATTCTTTTTTTGAAAATAATTTTTAATTCATTGAGTTTTATAGATGTAAAACAGTATGGGCACAGTGCACTTTACCCAGTGCAGGAATATGCAAGATAAAGAACAGACCACAGCTGCATCGGTCGTTAGTGTCAACGTTGCTAGCATTGGTGGGGGTTGAGGTTGCTGCCTACTTGCCCAGCTGGCCCAGGGCAGAAAGCAGAGTGCTCTGTGGTCTGCACCATCCTGCCTTCCAGGTCTGCACTGGAGATGAGCAGGCTTCATGGGTGATGGCTGCTAATCCACCCCAGGACACACACCAGAACATCAGCAGCTTCTGTGTGGTCCCCAGCAACTGATGTGTACTGCATTCTCGAGCTGCTCCTGTAAAGCCTTTTTCTGCCTCCAGGGGTCTGGGTACAACTGGAGTCAGCCTGTGCAGTGGGGTGGTGCTGGACTGGCCTGCTGAGGGATGTTTTCTGCAGGCCATTCCCGTGTGCAGCTTCCTGGAGAGGAGTTGTGGGGGGTCTCTGTAGGAGGGGCTTGGCCTGGCCCGTCCCAGCTCCTGCTTCCTCCTTGCCCCTCTTCAGGTGGGGGTCCTTCCTTGTTTGAACTTCCTCCTGGCCCCCCACTCTCTCGCCTCGCTCTGCTTCCACCCTCCATAGCCACCGTGTGCATGTCTGTGTTCTCGTCTCGTGACCCCTCCAGCCCCACTCTCCTGGCCTTAGCTCCTGCTGCCTCCCCCACGGCGGGGATCATCCACATCCTGTCTGCAGACTCTCTCCATGTGCATGTCTCCTCTATCACCCACTCCTTTAATGTGGCTCATGGCTCTGAGTGGGTGAGTCCCTTGCCACAGACCAGTCATCACACCAGATACTCGTGGGCCACTCATTTCACCCCAAAACTGCATCTTTCTGGGGTCCCCAGCTTGCTAGCAGGAGAGCGACAAGGTACCTTTGCACACCTACCCCATGTCCCCGTCACACTGATGGCTTTGCCACATATCTGTTTACACTGGAACAGGGTTGCCATTTTCCTTGTCCCATCAGGGATGAAGGGTGTTTGCTTAGGAAAGAGCAGGGGGCACACCTACGCTGGGCCTACTTAGTCTTCATTGCCTCTGTAGCCTTGGGCCCTGTCTGGGTGACTGTCCCACCCCTGCTGGCCCTGTCTACTCCTGCCTCCATGTGATCTGACAGTGCTGCCGTCCTGGCTCTCCAGCCCCAGCCCCTGACCACTGCACCCATCCTCTCTGACCCAGGCACCTGACTGGGGATCAGCAGCCAGAGGGCTTAACCCCAGAAGGTCTCTGTACTTGGCTTGGCCCTGCTGCCCTGTAGTGAGGCTGTGTGTCCCCAGGGGCTCCCCCTTCACAGAGCTTCCTGTGCCACTGTGGGCCCAGGAGGACAGCATAGTCATGTCCTATGCACCTAGGCCACCCAGCACCTGCAGAGCATCCATGCCCAGTCTGCTGCCCTGTGCCAGGCCTTGGGGGACGTTGGTAAGCAGAGAAGACGGTGGTTGGCTGGAGTTTAGAAGTTGGAGGGGAGAAGTCAGTGCTGGTGTCCAGGGTGGTCAGACTTGCAGCCTGCTCAGGCCAGGGCAGTGGTGGATACCAGTGTTACAGTAGATGGGGACCTGGACCATGGATGAAGCCTGGGTCAGGATTGAAATAAGGCAGGTGAGTTTAAGGCGAGCTTTTCAAAAGGCAGAGAAGCAGCACCTCGGGATAGCTGCAGCCAGGAAAATGCCATGGGCATGGGCTGGGGTCAGGTGGGGCTGTGGCAAGGCGTTGCAGGCTGCATTGGAAGCGCCTCTGACAAGAGCCACCAGAGTGAGGCTGCTGAGCCGCCTCCCCACACCTCCCACAGACTGTGCCTCCCTCTCCCTCTCATCTGGCAGGGAGCACGTTAGGCCCCCAGGCTCACGATGTGCGTCCTTACCTCTCTGCCACACAGGCATTCCAACGTGGTGATCCTGACTACCTCCAACATCACGGAGAAGATTGACGTGGCCTTTGTGGACAGAGCTGACATCAAGCAGTATATCGGGCCGCCCTCGGCAACAGCCATCTTCAGAATCTATCTCTCGTGTGTGGAGGAATTGATGAAGGTACCATGTCGTTCTCCCGTTCGCTGGCTTTCTGATTTGTTCTTGGTTAATGAGCACAGCTTGCAGTAAACCAGTTCTGTTGTTGAACAGACATCTTAACTCAGGTGTTAACCACCCTGAATTGAAAGCCGTAGTTCATTGTGTGTGGTGGCGTAGTCTAGATTGTGGCTGCTCGGCATCTGTTGCTCTGGCACAGTGTAATCACCAGTTTTCATCAGTGCAGGTAGCTTAGTGATGAGTAGCTTAGTGAGTAGGCCATGGTCAGCCTGCTGCATGTGCCTTTTAGACCTGCCCCCTTGGCCTAGATTGCCTTACCTACAAAGAGCCTGAGCCCACAGGACCGTGTGTGATACGACATGATGTGATATGATGTGATACAAAATTCAGTGAGTGTTTAAATTTTTTAAAAGTATTACAGTTGAAGACATATTGCTATGAATCCTCAAAATATCCCCTCATTTCAGACAGTCACCCCATCATTCCTGCCACTTTCTGAAGCAGGCCTGAAAGCCCTCTTCGGTGTCTTTAGCTGCACTCCTGTGACTGCCTTAGTGTCTTGAATCCATTGGAACATCTACCTTTGTTGGCCATTTTGACTTTGGGGAACAGTCAGAAGTCACACAGTGCTAGATCTGGTGAATGAGGTGGATGAGGACACACTGATGTTCCTATATGGCACTTGGCAGCAGCTTTTGCTGTATTTCTCATAAAGACTCACAAAAAGACTTTCAGAGCTGCTTCAGAAAGTGGCAGGAACAATGGGACAAGTGTTCAAAGCAAGAGGGAGGATTTTTCAGGGGATTAATGGCAATGTGTCTTTTACTGTAATAAACTCTTCTGAACTTAGTACGTTTCCACAGGCTTGAACCACTGATGTTATATGCGTAGCTATCCCATGCTGCCCAGTAGTGAGACACAGATGATGGCTTTGTTATAAATGTGTTAAATATTCACCATATATTTTGATCATGCCTCATTCATAGGACTATCTCCTGAGGGTCATAGTTCCCCGGCTGTCATCTGACTGAAGGTCATAATTTGCAGGGCTGCTGTCTGAGGTCATAGGCTGTCTTCCTACTGCAGGTTGTAGTACTTAGGGCTGCTGTCATAGTTTTCTGGCTATTGTCTGACTGAAGGTTGTAGTTCACAGCCAGTAGTCTAATAGAAGATCGTAGTTCACAGGGCTTCTGCCTAAGGTCATAGTTCACAGGCTGTCATCTGACCGAAGTTCATAGTTCACAGAACTGCTGTCTTCCTAGGTCGTAGTTCACAGGCGTTCTGCTGACATCCTGTGCTGCAGGAGCCTGCTTTGAGCTCGGTACTTAGGGAGCCTTAGGAGTGAGCAGGAAAGAGGAATGAGGACAGGATAATTGCCGCAGGCCAGTAGGGCCAATCTGACACTGAAGAGCAGGCCTCGCTGTCCCCTGCAAGGGCAGCATGGCCTCCAGAGGATGCATACAGGAGCTGCCTCACTGGACCTATGGAGGGAGCCAGCCAGCACTGTCCTGCAGGTGTCTGTCTTGGCTCTGGGTGTGGACTGGAGGTGCACGGGACCCGGGGTGATGTGCTGGACGCAGCTTTGTTACCTGGAGCCTGGCATTCCGCGAGAAGCCTTGGTGCCCTCAGTGCGGCCTCATCTCTTGAAGTGTGGCCCTCATATGAGTGCTGTGGCCTGGGGGCTGTTGTCCAGTTAGCTCAGCAGCACAAGTGTCTTGGAGACACGGGGCTGAGAGTGTAGGGCGGTTTCATAATTCCGTGGTTTACAGACATTCAGGAGGGTTAGCTGGCCTGTGGCTGGTCCTGGCAGCCTGCGAGTGACTGGGGCCCTTGGTCTTTGTGGATCTTGCAGTCCGTTCTGTATGCATGTGGCCTGAGGGACTCAGGGTATTACTGGAGGGCACAGCATCTGACACCCGAGGCCATGGGGAGCCCAGAGTGCCACTGAGGGCTCCCGACACAAACCTGCTTCTTACCCACTGAAGCGCTCCCTGTCCTGGTTCTGACATGGTACATTTCACATAGAGCTTGGTCCTGGTGATGCCCAGTATGCTGCCACGCTAGTTCAGCACAGCTGCCTGGCACAGGCATCTGACTCCAGACAGCTGCTGTGGAATGAGAGGCGCTGGGACCTGGTTTTCTACCTGTTGTTCTACTGACCCAGTCCCGCCACCAAACCCGGGATGCTTCTTGGGAAGGCTGGGGGTCCTGGCCCTGAATCTCAGCTTGGCCCCCCGTGGATTTTGATGCAACTCAAGCTGAAATAACAAACCAGGCTTAATGGCTTCCAGTCGTCCCAGCCATCATGGGTGGTAAGCAGGTGTCCTGGCTAGAAACCAGACAGACTGGCTGGGTCACCGCTGGGTGTCAGGTGCGTTTCATGTCTGCATTCTTGTCTGCTGGGAGGAGAGTGAGATTGCGCTGACCTCCTAGTGGCTGACACTTGAGTAACTGCTGTTCACACTTCTGTGAGCCATGTGTGACTCATGCCTGACCCGAGTGGTCTCTGCTCACTGCCTGCCTCTGTCCCCAGTGCCAGATTATCTACCCTCGGCAGCAGCTGCTCACACTGCGCGAGCTGGAGATGATCGGCTTCATTGAGAACAACGTATCCAGGCTGAGCCTCCTCCTGAATGAAATCTCAAGGTGTGAATGCGTCACCCTCTTGTCATCACCGAGAACCCTTGCTTGGGTTCCTGGGAAATAGGGCTTCCCTTGGCAGCCAGGGGGCCCTGGAGGTGAGCTCTGAAGGCAGCCCAGCGGAGCTCACAGGACAGTGTGGAAGCTGGGAGGCTGCAGGGAAAGGCCGTGGCAGGTGAGACCCTGAGGTGGAGCAGAGTGGCTTGGGTTTCTGGCCAGAGCTTGGACTTCAGTCTGGAGTCTGAAGGTCTTGGTGAATGAGAGTGTGAAGAGTGTGGCGTTGCTGAAGGTTTGGGTACCTGCAGAGGAGACTCCAGTTGGTTAGGACAGAACAGTTTGCAGTTGTGTAGAATCCGAGCGGGAGCCGGTGTGCTCCTTTGGGGACTGGCCTGTGGTGGCCATCCATGGAGTAACACCTGTGCTTCTCCTGGGGCAGTGGGTCCCCTGGCCAGCGCATCCTGGGATGGGACGTGGTAGGGGTAATGCCCTGTGGGGCCAGGATTGCCTCAGGGTCCCCTTGGCCAACCTGTGGGCTCAGGATTCACAGTAAGAACACAGTGGTCCCAAGATGCGTGGGTTTTCATATGAACAGCAACTCTGCATGTGGTTGTTTCCACTCTTGCAGGAAGAGTGAGGGCCTCAGTGGCCGGGTCCTGAGGAAGCTACCATTCCTGGCTCACGCACTGTTCATCCAGGTGAGTCCTCTGCTGCGTCCACAGCCTCAGCCTGGCTATTTCTAAGACGACAGGATCCTCGGTAGGGTGCAATCCAGAGTCCTCAATGCCTCTGCAGCACTGGTCCCTTGAGTCTGGGCTCTGTCATGGAGTGGTGACCTAGAGTCAGGCTCGCAGGCCTGACACCCGGCCCTTCAGCCAGGAGGCACTGCCCCTCTTTCTCCTCTGGAGCAGCTGGTTGCTGGGAGCTCTGGTCTGGCAGAATAGATATGCTGGTCTCTGAGACAAGCAAATGCATCATGGAACAGTTCTTTCTAATCAGAATCACTGGTGCTTCTCTGAGTCAATAGTAGCCTTACACCAGGCATAGTGTCTGGTGCTCAGGTGATATGGGATGGGCCCTGGAGAAGGGGTCCAGTGTGACACACCTAGAGCCCCCTAGTCTGTTTCTCTGTGAGTTGGCAGCTGACCCCAGTGCTCACCTGCCTGCTCCAGCATCCATTTCTAACCTGCAGGAATCAGGGTGTCACAGTTATGTGCCCTCAGAGGTCCTGAGCTGGATCCCGAGCTGGTTCAGCCTGTGTCCTGGGGCTGTTGTCAGCCCTGAGGACATTGCCACCATATAACTGAGAATTGGGCAGCCCAGCACCTGAGACCTGACTATACTCTGCTCCCTGGGTGTGGTGGTGGGGTTGCTGCTAGGTGGCCCCACATGGCCATCCGGTGGTGACCGTGTGACTTTCCAGGCCCCCACTGTCACCATTGAGGACTTTCTCCAGGCCCTGTCCCTGGCAGTGGACAAGCAGTTCGAGGAGAGGAAGAAGCTGTCGGCTTACGACTGATCCTGGCTCTACATCTGTAGTTTCTATGGCAGACTTGCAGGTGGCACCAGTGGCCCCAGCTCCATGCTGTAGAAGCCCTCAGTAGGACCGTTTAGATCTGCAAGCCATGGGCAAAGTGGGAGCTCCCAAGAGGGCTGTGTTTACATTATCTAGGTGCATCCTGAAAGGTAAACAGCTGGTCATCCTCATTTTAAAAAGGTAGTTCATATCCTTTGGTTTCTCTGTAAAGAACCATCTACGTGTTCATCCCATCCTTTTCCAGCCAGTCACACACTAAGTTTGCTTAAAATAAAGGGAAATTGATGTGGTTGTCACAGATACAAGAAAAACATGATTCCCCTAAATAAGCGTGTGATCACAGCACCAAAAGGTGGACTTGCCTCTCAGCTGGAGGCAGCAAGTAAGAAAAACCATGTCCCAGAAATTGAATAAGAAAGTCAACTTCCTGTCTGTAATCAGGCCGGAATGGTGCAGTACGTGAGGTGAGCATCTGGGCTCAGGTGCTGCTGTGCATCTGCCTGTGGCTTTATTGTCAACAGTATCATTCATGTCCTGAGTGCAGATTCGTAGAGGCAGATATAAGTGGGGTTAATGGGTACATTTCACAGAATATTATGTTTTGCTTTTACCTCATGCAAAAACAAAAAATTATTGCTTTGTACATGAAGTCCACTTTTTAAAGGTTGTAACTTGTGGTCATAGAACATTTTTAAGTAATTAAATTTGTTTTCAGAATTTTCTTTGATTCCAATCTCTCAAATGTGTGGATTTTCCTAAAAATCACCCAGGCTGCCTCAGCATGAGCACTGCCTGTGTTCTGAGGATCCAGTAGCTATGTTGCCTGCAGGAGCCACATCCAACTTAGCGGATGCCAGTTAGAGGCAGGCTCAGGAGCTGGGCAGGGAGCCCGTGCACTTGTGTGGTACACATGGACTGATCCATGGCCTGGTGCCGCCCCGGCCCTGGGAAGCTGAGCCCGTCCCTGCTGTTCACAGGAAGCCGTTTGTGCAGGTTGGCTGGGCAGAGTTGTCCCACGAGGCCTGTGACTCCAGATCACAGTCTGCTTCCTGGATAAAGTTCCTGGACATGGCCATGCATAGCTCTGGCTGCCAGTGCTTCTGTACAGAGTTGGTGGCCACTACAGCCTGGCCTTTTTAAAGAAGTCTGTTGGAACCTAGGCTCGGCCTGTCCCGGCGGTGAGTGGCTAACACCCGGGCCGCAGGCATAGTGACCATGGAGAGCTTGCCTACCGCCTCCCATCCTGGGCCAGGATGGCTGCTGGCCAGGCGCTGGTAGACTGGAGACTGCAGCTGCACTTCGCTCAGCCTCTTGTCAGCAGGGCTTGGCAGTCAGGGTCCACAAGTGGAGGCCTGCACAGTCGCCCACTGAAGCTGCTGCCTCTGGCAGGGTTTCCCTTCTGGAACCTTTGTAGGGTCATCTGTGCCATCCTTGACTGGCCCTGCATGCTAAGGTTGTCCACACTTAGGACTGAGGTGGTCTCCAGGGTTCACTCTGTTGACACCCAGAACCAGGATGACCATCCCACAGGAGCCTCAGGGACTCTCCTGCCGCTCCTCAATGCCAAGGGAACAGAAGACTGACGGGCAGGGGACCAACTTCACAGACGCATGATGCAGGGTCCCAGGTACCTCAGGCTGGGCCACCATGCTCAGTGCCTTCTCTTCCCCCAGTTAGGGCCTGTCCTGCACCCTCTGTGCAGGGACACCAAGGCTTCTGGCCCAAACAGGGCAGGCACACCTTGTCCGCCATTCTCTGTGGGCACTGGTGGGTGATAGTCATGTCCTCAGGGCAGAGGCTGTGCCTGAGTGTGGTGGCACATGGGTTGGGGCCGGGCAGCCCCCTGGTGCCCATGCCTGGCCCAAGGACCAGAACACATTGAAACCAGGGCCACCCAGGGCTCAGATCCCACCAGACACTTGCCTGGTGGTGCCGGGGTCTTCCCAAACCTGTCATCCAGGGCAGTGATGCTGGCCAGGGGGCAGGTGCCCTGAAAGAAGTGGGTGTGGGTCCCAGGGTCTGGGGACGGAGTGGGTGAGGACCACATTGCATTCTCAGTCACCCAGTGTTGAAGAGCTCAGGGTGAAGTTGGGCCTAGGGTCAGGAAGTTCAACAGGAGAGCCAGAGAAGCGCTCGAAACTGTCAGGTGGGGCAGGGCCCAGGCCTTCCAGGCACGACAGAGCTGACCCCTGGACAGGCTTGCTTCAGCCCACCAGAGGGCAGCACCTTTCTTTGGTACGGTTTGGGATAGGACAGGACAGCTGGGGGCCTCTGGGTCCATGGGACAGAGACAGCAGTGCCTCATGATGACCATATCCACCTGCACACCTGTGATGTCTGCAGGGGAGGGGAGGACCTGCCAAGGTTGAGGTCACAGCCGGCTGGCTGGCTGCTAGGTGCTTTCTGGCCTTGTGGGATGGGGTACCATGGTGCTCTGAAGTCAGGGTGGCCAAGAGCAGGGGCCAGCTTCCTCCAGAAGGTGACCTCCCACCCAGCTCTACTCTCCCATGCTGTGTCAGGGGGTGTCACCCCCCAAACCCATGTACATGGTATCATGCAGACCCCGCAGCAGCCACCAGCCCATCAGGACATGGAAGGGGCACAGTGAGCTAGAGACTGTCTCCCACCTCAGGCCACAGGGTGTGGCTGGAAGTGCTGGGGCCTCACAGTCACTACAGAGTGAGCACAGCGGCAGGTTGCATGGCTACCCTCTGGGCCGGGCCCTCCTCGTGTCCACCCTCCCTCCTGCAGGGACAGGTGGTAGAGAGAGAAATGTGTACCCTGGCGCCCCTCGGGCACTGTTTTCATCTCCATGCTGGATCTGAACTTTTCCTCCTGACCTCCCTCTACAATGCAGTGGCCCAGCTTCGGGAGCCCCAGTCCTGAGTTCATGCTTGGGTATGGTGCTCCAGTTGGCCCACAGAGGTGGTCCTGACCTGCTTGACCTGCAGGCTAAGGGCTCACACCTGTGCCCCTCTGCTCTGGGGATGCCCTACATCTCTCCTTCAATGGGTCCAGCAAGGTGAAGGAGTGCCAGGGAGTGCTGCTGGAGCTGCAGAGGTTTGCACAAACCTGGAGCTCATTCGGGGGCATCCAGCTGGACAGCCAGCACCCTGAGATACGGCTCTGGGATTCCAGGGGTCCCATGGCCTGGCTGCTCAGGGAGTAGCAACCTCTCAGCCTCCTTGCCAGCCCGAGGCTGAACACGATCAGCCCATGATCCTGCCCCTTCTGAGGCGTGACAACCAGCCTTTCCCAGCTGACCCCAGCCCTCACAGAGGCATGTGTTCCTTGACACAGATGCTCTGTTCCAGTTCCTGCCTCTCGTGTCACTGTCATTGGGTCTGGGCTCAAATCTTCCTCTTCCCCTCTTACCAGGAAGCCAGTCAGTGATTTAGGCTCCACCCTAGTCCTCCAGATCCTTGACTCCATTTGCAAAAACCCTACTTTCAATGAGGTCTCAGTCACAGATTCCAGGAGTTAGGACCCAGACAGCCTTTGAGCCCTGGTGGCTAACGGTGGTGCTCCCCCCACCCCAGGGATCTCTCTTGTGTTGATTGATTCCCAGGTCCAGCCAGGGGGAGTTTCCGGCCCCGAGGTGCACAGAGCAGGGTTGCAGGTCTGCTTTGAACATCCCTGAAGCACCCCGCCCAGGCCTGCTATGGATGCCAGACCTTAGGGGTCACTGGTGAGGGGTCCTTTGCTAGACAACCGGGCCCTTTAGAGGAGCCCACCACAGGCTGCCCTGGACACCAAGACCTGCCAAGCAACTCTTCACCCACTCTTCATGGAAGAGGCTTTCCCTGCTCTGTGCACCCAATGCTCGTTCCTTACCCCCAACCCTCCTTCTGGACTCCCTGACCCTCTTCTCGACCCCCGACCTTCATTCTGGCCCCGTAGCTCTCCTAGAATCCTGGTTCTCATTTTGGACCCCCAATCCTCATACTTGGACCCCCAGTCCTCATGCTGGTCCCTCAGCTCTCCTCACTCTGGAGCCCCAATCCTTATTCTGAGCCACTGCTCCTGACTCTGGGCAGACAGGATGCTCCTGTAGGGCATTCCTGGTGACTGTGCTCAACATAACCCCACCGCTGGGTCTTTCCCCCAGCACTGTGATCCTTCTTGATGGAATCCCTCTTTCTTTAAAATCTGAGGTATCACTTTTGTAACTACAGCCTTCTCCTGAGCTATGGGATATGACTGGAAACCGTCCTCTGTCCCCCCAGCTTACAGTTCATGATGAGGTGGCATCTCAGCAGAGTGATGGCTGGCAACAGGAACCTGAGTCCCTGCTGGTGATGAGAGCCTTCTCTCCCTCCTGTGTCACAGGCATCACGATGGAAACATTCCATCTCTTGCACCTGTTTCTCATTTGTGACCAGAAACCTGTTCCTCGTTACCTTGAATTGATAATTAAGTCCTTTCTGCCTCCAAACCCAGAGCCACCACTCATGACTGGAAGATTTCCCTCTCCAACATCTGAGTCTTCCAGGGCTGGGCAACTCTATCAATTCCCCAAGTCGGCATTTATAACCAGAGGCATTCCTGTCATGAATTATTTATAACTAGAAAACATCTCCAAGAAATGAATCCTTTCTTATTTAGCACCAAATTATAACGTGAGTAGAGATCTTTTCTATCAATAACCTGATGTCTCATTGATGACAGAAAGCCTTTCCTCCATCTCCTGGATTACGATTTACCTCACACACTTTTCTTCTCTATCATGTGAGTTATAGCTTATGTCTGGAAACTTCTTTATCAGTCAACATAATTTCCAGTCATAAAAACCTTCATTTCAATCACCCAAATTATTTATGACTAGGAAACTTCTTATCACCTGAGTTGTCAATTTTTATGACTAAAATATTTATTTTTCAAAGGAGTCATCACTTATGATGACTCCTTCTCTAATATCTAATTTATCATTTGTGACTAGAAAACGTTTTTATATAGTCTAAGTTATTTATTCCCAAAGCTTTCTTTCTCTATCACCTGTGTTGTCATTTAATTATGAGTGAAGCACCTTCCTCTATTATGTTAGTTATTGCTTATAGTTGGAAACTTTCCTCCATCACCTGGAATAAACCTTTTTCTGTCACGCGAGTTAATTATTAAAACACTTTTTTTTCTCTTACCTAAGATAGCATAAACAATTGGACATCTCTTCTATCTCTTGATTTATCATGTGTGACAGGAAAATACCTGGTGAGTTATCATTTTTCTACCAGGTGAGTTATCATTTATGACCTGAATCTTTACTTCTTGGCCATCAGAGTTAGTTACAATTGGAAGCCATCATCCTGCATCACTTTGGTTATCATTTATGACTGATACATATATAATATATATTTCAATTGTGTCATATATAGAGGTGGGAGAGAGAGTGAGTCTTGCTACATAGTTCAGACTGGCCTTGAACTTGTGATGATCCTCTTGTTTCGGCCTCTTGAGTGATGGGACTACAAGCGGGTGACACTATGCCTGGCTATGACTGATGTCTTCCTACTCCGTTGTGTGAGTCACCTATTATGACTGGAAACTTTCTCTATGACCTGATCTATCACAACTGAAATCTTCAAATTCATCACTCATTTTTATGACAGTTTCCCTTTCTCCATCTTCTAATTTATCATTTATGACTAGAAACTTTAGTTTCAGC